GTTACCTGTCTTCTAAGTTGTCTTTGTGGTAGCTATACGTTTTAAGTTGAAATATACTTGAACTGCCCTTTTACAATAGATATTATAATAATCACTACAAATAAGAAAGTTTATGTTATGTATGTGTCTAATATATTTAATTCGCCATTTATACATATTATTTTCAGGTTCATACTAATTTGAGACCGTATATGCATTCTATAGGCATTATTCTTTCAGATTTTTACATTTATTTTTTATTTTTTTTTTATTTTTTTAGCTTAACAGTATAAATTCGCATATTTTTTAAAAAATGAATTGTATTTCTTTTTAATTCAACAATAAAATCGTTAAAATTATTAGTAATAGAAAATTTAGACTCAGATTCGATTTCTTTGAGACCGGTATATAATTTAATCGAGTTAGAGTTAGAAGAATATGAAGATAATGAATTAGTTCTTGATACTGTTCATGATTTAATGCAATTTTTTTGAACAAGCAAATTGCACATGCCGATATGTGCCTAATAAAAAAGATATTAGATCATATTATGAAAAAGTTAGATTTAAAAGATTTTTTGAAAGATACTTTCAAGTAAGAGCATTAGATAAATCCGAACTCAAATTATTTTTAAAAGCACAATTAATGGCTTTCGAGGTTACAAATGATAAATTAGAAATTCACAAAAAAATTAATTATAAATATAGTTATAATCATTCTTTTTCTCTTTGCAAACCCACATTTTTAAAACTTTATGAAATAAATGAATACTTTCTTTCCGCAATGCAAGAACATTTACAAAATCAAGATATAACAGAGAGAATTCATGGAAACACTGGTCATGTACCTAAAATAAAAAGCAAAGTATTTCTTGATTCTAGTGTTATATTTTTTATTAAACTTTTTTTAGAATGATATGGTGCTATCAATGGATTACCGTCTCCAATGAGATACAAAAGTGAATCTGAACCATTTATTTATTTGCCTACTGGATGCACTTATGTTTCAGTTTATAATGATTTTAAAAAACATTTTTATAGTGAAAATGATCAAAATGAAAAAATTATTTCTTATTTTACTTTTAGAAGACTTTGGCAAAAAACAATTCCTCATCTTAAATTTCAATCGCCCGCGAGTGATCTTTGTGAAGTGTGTGAAACTTTTAAAGCAAAATTGTTAGTAGCTAAGTCCAATAAAGATGAATACGATCAAATTAAAGTTCAATATGATCAACACTATGAAGCGACAAATCGGAAAAGACAACATTATAATAATAATATAAATGAAAATGCAAAAAATTTGTCAATCGCACATGTTTGCTATGATTGGGTGCAATGTGTATCAATTTCATACTCACCGCAACAAGTAGGAACGATTTATTTTAAAACCCCATTTTCAGTTCATTTATTTGGTGTATGTAAAACGGAAAGTGGTCAAAATTCTCAATTAAACTTTGCAATAGGTGAAGATGAATTTCCCGAAGATACTTCTAAAGGTGCCAATACTACGCTTAATATGGTTGATTATTTTCTTCAAAACTTCGCTCATGAAGGAAAAAAAAATTACATATTACTTGCGATAATTGTAGCGGCCAAAATAAAAATAACTTATTGCTTTTTTTTTATTGTTGGTTAGTAATGTTAGGTTGGTATGAAGAGATCACAGTAAATTTTATGATTCTGGGTCATACAAAATTCATTTGCGATTTTTTTTTTGGCAAAATAAAAAAATTATATAGAAATCAAAGAAGTAATACATTAGCTGATATTTCACAAATTATTAATAATTTAGCTAAAGAAAACACAGCAATTGTATATAACAATGGATTAGGTTGGACGTGAAATGATTTTTCTTTATTATTTCAAGATCATTTTAAAAATTTTCCTAATATAAACCAGTATTATCATTTTAGGTTTAATAATTCACCTAACGATATTGGAAAAGTTTATGCATCAAAAGAATCTGGAGGAATAGAAGTATCCTTTCAATTATTTTATAACAATAACTTTAATGCTTATACTACATTAAAAACTATAAGAATTAAACTAATGATAAAAGAAAGAAAATGCTATCTGTATAAAAACATTAGACAACATGTAGATAACCCACACAAAGATATATACTGCGCAAATCTAGAAGAAACTAAACAATAAATAATATTAGTCATTTACTTATACGTACTAGACAATTTTTGTATTGCTAATGCATAAAATGTATATAACTTACCAAAATACAATAATAAATAAGTGAAATATTAATCCAAACTATGAGGTAATGATGAAATAGTGACTAAATAATAGTGAAAAGCAGTGAAAAAGTAGCGAAGGTAA